ATACAAACTTGACAACCTCAGGCAGGAAAAACCTTATACCCACAACCCAGACAGGTCAGAGGGAGACAAGCAAACCCTGGACAGAGTAAAAGCAGAAGGGCAGGAAGCAGGAGGCATCCTTCAAAGCCTTGAATGATGAAACTTCTGACCCTGTAACGCTGGAAGAAAATAATATAATACTTCAAAGAAGAACCAATTATGACAGCAATAGGAGCTGAGGTTATCTCACAGTATCACTGTTGGTATCCCCACAATGCACTGCCTGTGATGTCTAAAAATGCTTGTGATGCACCCCAGCTTCTAAGCCCTGTGACCATCAGTTGCTGATAACCTTTTACTCCCCCCTTAGCTCTATCTAATGAGTGCACAAAATGTAGCTGGCAGCAGGACAGTCTTTCAACAATACAATTATTGAAATGCCTTCACCAGCCAGATTACTATCTTCTATGTGTGTTTCAGAAGCTCATAAAGCACCAGGGAAATGGAGAAAAAGTCTGACATGTCTATGTGTCAGTGGAATATAATGTTTGGAACAGCAACAGCAGAAATGCAGGACTGTGTAATCCTGACTGGTGCCTTCCATGGGTGAGGGAAAGCAGGAAAGCCTCTGCCTTCTTGGCCAAGGCTGCCAGTCTGGGGGCTGCAGCCAGAGAGGTGGTGACACCCTTCAGCAAACCACTGCTGACCTCACTGACTGCAGGTGTCCCAGCAAAAGGACTAAGAACTGCTCTGTTGAGGTGCCAGGCTGCTCCATGTGATACTCTGAAGGCATAAACCCCAAATCACCCTACAGACATCCCCCAGACCCATGAGTAAAAGCTGTCTGGATGAATGAGCAATAAGTACAGGCAGCCGTAGGAGCACCCAGCACAACATGACTAAGATCTTGTTGGAGCCTCCGGATGCCACTGGAATACAAATAAAAAAGAGGAGCCCATGAGTAATCAGCACTGCTGAAAAGAGGATCCCTGGCAGCTGGGGGTGTTTCTGTAACACTGTGCATGCATTCTTTTGCAAAAATATCACAGGTGCATTCACCTATGAGAAAATCAACAGGAAGAAATCCTGCTTGCTGCCGCTCACTCTTCAAGGCAAGAGGGGCCCAGGAAAGAATACCAAACCTGAGTAGGAGGCTGGAGGAGAGGATTTAAGAGAGAAGACAGTAATAGTTCTTAGCTTTTACAATGTAATATTGATCTGCTGTCTACAGCAATGGCTAAGCCTTCTTGAAGCTGAGGACACAAAGGAGAATAAAGAGCTACATGTCCATGGAGCACAGGAGATGGCATTCAAGCCCTGTGTCTCACTTCTGACCCAAGGACTAGAAAAACTTCATTTCTTTATCCTGGCCCAGCACATCTGGGAGCTACACCACAGCCCAAACAGGGCACACAGCCCACATCTCACAGGAGGAAGAGTTAAACACTTCCAGCAAGGTTGAGCAGTACCTAAGAAAAGAAAGCAAAAGCCAGAGACTGGGAATATGTAACACTAGGCAAGGAGGGGAACTTAATGATACACCAGGATTAGAAAAAATGGTAAATAGAGGAGATAGAATAGACTATCCAGGAAGAACCTTGAGGCCAGGAAAGGAGTTGAACTGAGGATCCATCTCTTGAGAAATAATAAAACTCTCCTTGGCTGGAACAGTTCAATGCAGACTGCCCTGACACAACTAAATAAACAGTACACAGAGCCACTGATGAGGAGGCTGATCCTTTTCATCTCAGAATTCAGCAGATTAGATACAGCTGGACTTTTCCCACTTGGCTTCCCTCCAAACAGCCATACACACCTTGTTTGATAGTTATCACAAACCATATTTCAGAGAGGGTGGACAGCAAAAATTTCCTGGAGTTTATCTGGCTGCATCCTTAAGGAGATTGTAACCAGATAATCATAACCTTTTGCACAGCATTAGGAAAGTACACAAAGGATCACCCTCTGTCACCCCTGACAAACTACATCTGGGCTATGGGAAGGGAAATACTAACAGGAATTCTGAAAATAATCTCACCTCAACCTCCCCATCATGATATCACCAAGTGAAAACCTCCTTCCAATCACTGGCCAGGACTTCAAGGTTAACAGCCACATCGGGACCATGGCATCACCTGCAGTCCTGGAGGAGTTCAGCTTTCACTGTCTCCAAAAGAGCAAAGCCTGTAGGCACAACTATGGCCCCAAAGACTGGATTCATAATGCAGATATGACATACTGCTCTGGAACAGATAGATAATTCCAAAGTGCTCGAGTCTAGTGGCTCCTAGTGAACAGTTATGTGAAGTGCTTTTATAAACAGCTGGACATAATAGGTTTTAAAGTATTACCTTACTCAAAAGCAACTTGAAAATCATCAGCCTGGGGTTCCAGCTTTGTTCTTGCAGGTACCTTCATAAAAACCTGCCTATTTCAGTTACCTGGTTTTAAAACTGCAGCTGAAGCCGGAGAGTCAAGTTGTGTGCTTTCCTCCTTTTGCAGGACCATTCACAGCAAAGCAAATATTCTGCCAGCCGTGTCAGCCTTCGTGAGATTTCTGTCTCATGCCTTCAACACCAGAAGTATCACATGGTCTTCAGAAGATTTATGTAACTAAAGGTGACCATTTTTAGCAGGACTAAGAGAAAGACATAAAAATTTCCAGCACAAGTGGGCGACAGCTCTACCATGTGCAGAGATGTTACTTCTTACTTGGGTGAGATCAACTTGTAAGGCACAGGGACTGAATTCAAAGTGTGCAGACCGCTTGGGGAAACAATGCAATCACAGCTGCTTCTCAAGCAAGAATGAGCTCTAATCACCCCAACACCAGGTCAGGAAGAGGCTGTCCCAGAGCAAGAAAGTATTACATGGTGGCCAACTTATAAAAGTTCTGTATCCCTAACACTAAGCCAGACACTGAAGGAAGAACAACTGGGGACCTTCAACTAAAATATACTTTACAAAATGTTAAATGGCAGATATGTAACAAAACTGTGTGACATTCATACTTTCACTGCTATGCCTTGAGTCCATTTTACAGAAACCTGTCAAATGCAATCAGACTTGTTTATTCTGCATTTAAATAGGACCTGAGGCAGTCTGGTTTCAAAAAAGACAGAAAAGGCACATATTGTCCCTGGCAGTTGCTTAGTTTTTACAACAAAGGCAATGCCTTGTTCATTCTTTATTCCAAATAAAAATTATTTCAATGCTCTGTTGCATTAGAATCTAGAGAATATTTATGCTTGCTGCCTCAGCACAGGTAGAAAAAGAATTAAAATGCAAATTAAAGGAAGAAATATAGAAACAAAGTGCCATTAACACACAACTCACTGCTCCCACCCCCCATCCCCCAAAATCAGGTGATTCATACAGAGCATCCTCCAAATCTCACGTAAGCCACTGTTAATGGATTAAGTGGCAGTGTCCCTTCTGGCTTCAGTTTATAAATTCTTATCTGCTTAAGGTTGCTCCAGAAAGACTTCCAGCTGACAGCATGATTCTTAAAGAGACAAATCCTCCCTGGCAGTTTACAATTGCATACCAACAACAACAGCATTGCGTGTGCCTTCATGTTTGCACTGATAGAGGATGATGGTTCACTGCTTAGGATTCAGCATCCCCCTCCTTTCCAGTCTGATTTGAAGCACCACCATTGCTTGGGCTGAGTTTCTCACTGACTTTGTCTGTGACATAGCAATGAGCACTCCTAACAACTCCTTGCACGGCCATGATAAAACCACCTTCAGTTCACACAACTGCTCCAAATCACCCAAGTACAGACAAAGGGGGCAGAGAGATTCAGCAGAAGAATAATGCAAGTATCAGAAAATCCTTCCCCATAACAACCAGTTGCCCAGCTCATCATTAACCATTTCCACTCCTCTAGATCATGCCAAAGAAGTATCCAAAAGCCCAGCAAAAAATGAGGGTGAATAGCAGCATTTCTATTTTCCACGCTGGTGGCTGCAAATTCTGCAACACATAGAGGAAGCTGCAACAAGTTATAATCTGAAATGGCTGTTAGAGCAGCACCTTCCCTCATTCCCTGCTTACAGAGAGATGTGTGACATCCTCTACCCCCATTGGCAAGTGTCTTTGGCTGTGAAAATGACCTTAGAGAAGAGGTACCCAGGTAGTGCTGAACACACACAGTGTGTGTGTATTGCTGCTGGAGCAGACTGTATTCATGAACGATGGGCTATTTTCTGCTACCACCCTCCCAACTTCCAGCAAAAGGGGTAAAAAAGAGCAGAGACAGAGGAGACCTTTGGCAGGCTCTCCTGCCCACATTACCCAAGTGACCCCCATCCCATTTGGTGCCAATAGGTCCCCAGGAGTTCAGAAAAGGGATGGCATCCTTATGAGGAACAGAATAGCCACATCAGCGAGACAAGGAACCCCAACTACTCCCTGCCCTCCTCCGAACAGGACTGACAGTCCCATGCACACACACATTCATGGAGCCCTCAGAAGAGACGCCAAAGCAAAGGCTTCTTTCACCAATAAGCACTCGGGGACTCTTGGTGCTCTTACTCCCCCAAATCGTTGTCCTTTGCTTTCCTAGGTAAGGAAAGAGCCGTGCACCCATCAGCCGCCCATGGGGCAGTGCTGGGGAAGAAGTGACAGCGCTGCGAGCAGGGCAGGGATCTCACACACAGGCAGGGAGCGAGAGGCTCGGGGTGCCGGGCACGGAGCATCCTACCCCGGGGAGCACAGCCTGCCCCAGGGTGTCCGGGGTGCCTGCCCCCAGGTGTCCGGGGTGATTGCCCCAGGGTGTCCGGGGTGCCTGCCCGGCGTGGGTGCTCAGGGTGCTCTGTGTCCCAGGGGTCTAACCCCACTCTGGGCTCCCTGCGGTACCCGGGATTTGTGTCCTGCCGGTTGCCCATCTGATCCCGGGGTGTCCAGAGCATCCATCCCGCTCCGGGCTGCTTCGGGTGCCCGCCTGGAGGGGGATGCTCGGGGTGCCGGGGATGTCGGGGTTGCTCGGGGTGCCGGGGGTGCCGAGCGAGCCGTACCTTTGAGGCGGTGGTGGCGGGCGCGGTGCAGGCGGCCCTGGCCGCCGCGGGGCAGCGCGGGGATGCTGGAGAAGCGGCTCCCCATGGCGGCATCCGAGCCGGGCCGGGCCGGGCGGCACCGTGTGAGGTCTCTGTCCCCGGGGCTGTGGCGGCTCGGAGGGCGCCGATAGCTGCGGTGCCGCCTGCCGGGCCCCCCGCTAGGCTCGGCTCCGCCCGGCTCGGCTCGGCTCGGCTCGGCTCGGCTCCGCCCGGCTCGGCTCGGCTCGGCTCGGCTCAGCTCGGCGGGGCGGGGCGGCGGCACCGCGGCCCCCCCGCCGCGCCCGTCGCCATGGAGACACAGCTGTTCCGCCGGGGGCCGCCCCGCCCCGCCCCGCCCCGCCCAGATGTGCCACCGCTGGCGCGACAGGTGGGGGGGACACGCGGGGCCTCTGCCGACCCCCGCCCCCAGCACAAGGGAGCCCAGGACCACCAACCCCGAGGGGCAGACGCGGGGTCAGGGACATTGTTCCCTTCCCTTGCCAACCCGGGACTTCCCTCGCACCTGCTGGCCCTCAACCCGCTTCCCCAGCTGCCTTCTTCCAGACAGGAAATTTGGGCCAAGCCTGGAGTCCAGGCGCTCCAAAGAAGCTGCAACATGCATGGACGCTCACCCAGGCAGACCGGCTGTGGTGGGATGCAGCTGTCCTGAAGAAATTAGGATTCTCATGGATACAAACATGTCAGAGCCACACTCTGGCAAAGAAGATGGGCAAGCAGCTCCTTGCACAGTCATAGAGCAAGTGGACAAGTAGGCAGCTGGGCAGAGGGGCAAGTAGGTCTCATTTGTGAACATGAGCATTATATTTCCAGCTATTTCATTACAGTGAGCCCAAAAAGAAACAAATGGCCCTGAGATGAGATCAGTTGATTAGGGTGCTAACACCAAGGTTGTGGGTTCAATCCCTGTATGGGCCATTCACTTAAGAATTGGACTTGGTGACCTTTGTGGGTCCCTTTCAACTCAGAATATTCTGTGATTTGTGGCACAAGACTGGAATGGCCCTTAGAGGGGCAATTCCACCTCCTCATCATACCTTCCATCCTGTTGAACCTAATTGTCTCCAACCAACAAAAGAAAAAAAACAGCAAACCTGTTCTTTCTCCATTTCTTTTCTCTAATCTCTCTCTCTGCCTGTCCTTGAATTGCAAGAGATCTTGAGCAAGGACTGTCACTTTTCTGGGAAGTTTCATGTTTAATGTGGCAGAAAGAGGTGTCAATGTAAGGCAAATTATAATGGAAAGAGGCATCTTTCCATTGTATAAAAGAGATCTTGAAAAAGGAAAGGCACCAGTTTTGGACTGGAGGCATAGGGAACATCCATGTAAGCACAGGAAAGATTTCTGTGCAGTCATCCATTAAATGACAGGCACTCACACAGGTGAGTGCAGGCTGCTAACTGTGCCTTGTGTGATAGCTCACACGAGGGGAACCTGTTCCCAGAAGGACCACGTGCTCTCTGGGAAATTCTACCAGGATTCTGCCAAATCCACCCTGAGCTTTAGACACCAGGCACCACTTTAACCTTGGTGCCATAGTGTGAGTATTAAACTGTGCCCCACATGGCTGGTGGGGTTTGTGCTCAACCACCTCCCCTTTCAACCTGCATAACAAGGGTGAAGCCCAGATCCATCGGTGAAAGGAGGAAGCCTTACAGACCTGCTTTAGCAACATGTTCAGCTACCATGAGGGATGGGCTTTGCTTTGCCTGGCACAGCAGCCTGCAGCTGACACCTGGGGACAAATGCAAAACAGCACCAGGGGTGGTTGTGATTGTACCTTGGTTCACTTTATCAAAGGGCCTTTGAATTTGTTCCTTTTATTGGTTGGAGAAGGAGGGAGAAGGAGGGGCTGCTTGCTGTCCTTGCCAACTTATGTCAGCTCTTCCTGCAAAAAATGTTGAGCAGGGTGAGAAATATGCTCTGTGATCACAGGGGCCCTTGATAGACAAAACAGGATCACACTGATTCTGGGTTTTTGCCTTTTTCCTGTGCTCTAGCAACAGGGAGCATTGAAACAGCTTGCTAAAACTGCAGGGCTTTCACACCAGCAAGTCAGGACTTTCCTTGTGTGTTAGTGCTATCAATTGAATTGGCTAATTAGAGACATGCAATTCCTTGGTACCAGCCCTGCCAGGCAGTGGGGACCTGGTGCAGAGCAGGATGAGTTTACAGTGACCTAAAACTCCTCTCCACTTTCTGAATTTGTGCATGGGCACCTGATTTCCAATTTGTAATTTGTGCTTAGAAGTCAATGGAGACAACGCAGCCACTCCATTAATTTCACCTGGAGTTAGTATCAGCTAGCACTGTGACTGTAACTATGGGCAAACACAAGGAGAAGGCTCTGCACAGCCACATCTGCTCATGGAACAGAAGTCACCAAACCACCCATCAATTCTCCACCCAGGAGCTGGGTGCAAGGATGAGCTGCAGCTGCTCAGCTCAGGCATGTGAGAAAGACCACAGAGACAGGATGTGGAGGAGGATTTGTAGAGGCTGGAGGGGAGGATCTAGTGCTGGATGATGAGGCAGATAACCAGCTGCTGGGCTGGGTGCACAGGGGTGCCTTCAGACTGCAAAGGGGGCAAGGTCAGATGAGTGCACTTGTATCAGAACTTCAACAGATGTGGAAGAAAAGGACACACCTAGCCATGAAATCTGGAGATCTGCATGCTGCAGGGAGAAAAGATCATCTGGGAGATATTCATTGCATCTAATTGTTGAGCTAATCCCTGATTTGTGTATTTTAAACTGCCTGAATGAAACAGGCCTTCTTGATGTGGCATGCATCATACAAAAATCAAATACCCTGCAGCCACTACATCAGGAAGGTTTAGCCCATTGCTGTCACCTTGGAAGCATATGAAAACTGGATGTAAGAGTCAGATGAGACAGAAGCAAAATTGGCCTTGTGAGTTAAAATAGGACAGGATGACAAGAGACCACTCTCAGTCACAGGTGAGCAACTGTGTTTGTGTCTAACAGGACAACAGATTTCACAGCAGCAACCAGAAGAGTGTGTGAAGATAGAAATAATAGGTTAAAGTGAAGTAGGGAAAAAAGATCTGCAGATATAAAGCCTCATAAGATGCTTAGTCTCAGACAGCAGTCCAAAAAAGCCATCATGACAAGTGATCACCCAATTTCATGCTTTTTCCCTGAGAAAACTAAATCCCATGTCACCTCTTACTTAAGGAATGTAGATATTTGTTTTATATGAGTGGGACAGAAAAGAAGTGTCCATCTTCTGTGACATACTGGCTGTACAGTGTGCAGACTGGGGGAAATGCTTTGTGCAGACATCTTGATGCTTTAGATTAATTCTGTTTATTTTCTGACCTTTACATTTGCAGTTCTCCCATTCATCAGCAATGGATTCACTTGAGAGGAAGCTTTTGCATATTTTAGCAGCCATTTTGCAAAGTGCTACTTCGATATTTGTTATGAGCTGTGCTCAAAGACAATCATCTGAGGACAAAGAACCCAAAAAACCAGGGGAGAACAAACAGGTGGTTGGAAAATATTAATTTCTTCCACATGCACTGCTCACATTTTTTGACCTCTGAGATGAAAGCACAATTATACTCTTGCAATGCCTCTGTGAGGAGGGTTTAAGTACCTTTTAATTCAAGTCTATTGTGCTCCTCATACTGGGAAACTCAGTGAAGCCTGTTGAGCCCCAAGTGTATTTCAGAGCAACCCCAAGTCTGCTTCCTCCCACAGCAGAAAGCTTCAAGGGGACATTTGTGTCACATCCCATGGCCCAAATCTCACCACTAAGCTGGGGCTTACTAGAAAGGCCAGTACTGAGCAGAGGATATTTCCAGGGGAATCAGCTCCTCCCTATTTAAAGGGTCCTTTGATCTACAAGAGAAATCTAACAGGAATTTAGCACAGCTAATAGTCAAGGCTTTGATCTTCCCTTTAGAGTTTCACTGGCTGTCAGACAGCCTGAACCCCTACTTCCAGCAATAGGAGCCAGAGATTTCTCCCTGGCACTTTACAGTGAGTTTGCCACCTTCATAGACTGACCAGTGTTGCAGGGGTTTTGTTCCTATTCACTTAACTCCTGGGGAATTTCTCCCTTGAAACTTTTTCTTAGACAATGGACCCTCCTTTTAGTCTCACCTTCATATCTCTGTCAAGATGGTGGGTATTACTACAGAGGTGGCAGGCAGCCCACTGTAGCAGAACACAGACTCTGAGGGATACTTGCCTTCTAAAAAAGATCCTACATTCTTTCCAGATCTGAATGGCTGTAAGTTAAAGGAGGGATATATCAAGACTTTGATGACAGATGCCAATGTCAATCTCATATCCTATTTCTGCATCAAAATATTTGCTCTTAATTGAATTTACTGTGCAAATTAACAGTGGAGGTGCCCAGATTTCTAAATGGGTCATTGCAAGCCAACTTTACATCACGCTGAGAAGTCAGCATGCTTGAGGAATATTGGGAAAAAACCCAAATATTTACTAAATGTGATGAGTTAGAGAAAGGAGAAGTGTATTCAGGATGTTAAGGATGTTAGTCTGAACATCTAAATGTGTTTGACATCCTCAGTACCTTAAATGGTGGGTTAGGTTATCAGACACCCAACAGCTTTGGTGTATTTGGTCAGTATTTCCTTTCTCCATGTGGTTTCAGGATAACAGTGTATCTTCACAGGTTCCAAAGACTACAAGCTCCAAATAAACTTAAAGCAATAAGAAAAGTCTGGGCTTTGATTTCCCAGTCTTCCACAGTCTGCAGAGCCTGCACACAGCCAGCACCACCGCAGAGTGACACAAGCAGTATGAAAGAGCCACCCAAGATGGTCTTCCCACATCTGACTCAGCCTTAAACTGGCCATAGAAACAGGATGTGTTCAGATGTGTCCTCCTGATGAGCTCTCATCCAAGTCAGTGAGGCCCTGTGTAGTCCCTGGAGCTGAGCACCACCCTCAGGGGTCCCAGAAAGGCTGAGACTGCTCATTACTTCCCTCCTGGTCCACACAGGGCGTTCCAGGCTGACTGATGGGAAATTGGCTGAATCTCAAAAAGATGACCTGGAAACTGCAGCAAAAGCTCTCTCTATCTGTTCTACA